TATTAGTGAATAATGCAAAATATTTTATATAACCATGTTTTCCATCAATTTTATGTAGTACAGCTATTCATTTTGAGGCTCACCTCATTTGTAATCCTGGGGTGTTAACTACATGGATTGAAAGATAACCCACTGGATGAATTAAAGCCCCACCAGATTTTGTTTAATTATTTAAAGCATACCTCATCATCCATGCAGTAAAATCCTGGATGTTAAAATGATAATTGACACGCAGGTGTGTGTGAACTTTTATGGATCAAATTATTGTTGCGTGATCTAGGTATTGATCAGACGGACTCCATGCGGTTATACTGTGATAATAAGGCCGCCATCAACATTGCTCATAATCCAGTTCAACATGACAGGACAAAACATGTTGAGATTGATCGCCACTTCATTAAGGAGAAACTCACTAGTGGTACCATTTGTACTCCCTTTGTCCAGTCTGGTGAACAACTTGCTGACATTCTCACCAAGGGGATTGGGAATAAATCATTTCATGACATATTAGGCAAGCTGGGCATGAGAGATATCTTCGCACCAGCTTGAGGGGGAGTGTTAGCATATTATATTAAGTGTTAGCATATTATATTAGTCGAAAGGTACACTAGGGTCTGTCTGTAATCATTTTATGCACTCAGGGATAGCACTCAGGGATCATCTTGTAATTGCCTTTCTTGTAAACCCTAATCTTCATTTATAAATAGGGGGTGATATTCTATCATTCCCCAAGCTGGTTACCCAAGCTTCAGGTCGTGCTTCCTTCTCTCCAGTAAGCCTTTGCTTTTGTGCAAAATGAGGAGAGTCATTGCTCTGCTATGTTTCCTTCAGCCACTATTGATTGCTCTGCCTTGGTTTCTGCACCCCTTCGAGATGGAGAGCGTGTGACTTGTGGTTCTCGTCCTTCCTTTGAGAAGAATAATCTTTTTTGTGACTACTGCATAGACATTGACACACGAGAGACTTGTTGGAAGTTGCATGGTACACCTTCTGGTGGCCGAGGAGACCGTCCTGGTCCTCAAGGGAGTAGGTTTGGTCAGTCTAGAGGCCGAGGGGCCAATACTTGGGCATATCTTTCTGACATGATTGAGCCACCACCTTCATCTTCAGTTGTCTCACCGACTGCTAATGTTTCGGGGTTATCTGCTTCGGAGTTTGAGATTGCTCTTCACCACTTGCTAGACCGTCGAGCCTTTACTTCTGCCACAGATGCGTCATCTTTTTCCTTTGCCAATTCAGGTAACTTGGCTTCCTTCACATGTGTATTGCTATCTTATACGACTGTGCCATGGATTATTGATTCTGGTGCTTCAAACCATATGTCTGATTCCTTTAATTTGTTCTCAGAGTATAACCCCTCCTTAGGTTAGGAAAAAGTACATATTGCTGATGGTACTATTTTGTTTGTGTTAGGAAAATGTTTAATTCATGCCGCCTCTTCCCTTCCTTTACCCTCTTTACTCCATGTTTCCAATTCTAATGTTAATCTTTTATCTTTGAATTGTATTACCCGTGATATGAATTGTAGCGTGACGTTTTTTTCCTGATCATTGTCTGTTTCAGGATCTTATCATGAGGAAGAGGATTGGTAATGGTAGAAAGAAATATGGTTTCTACATTCTGGATCAGACAGACAACCGGCTCATTTATCTATTCAATTATCATCCACCAAGGAAGACTTTTGGCTGTGGCACTGTCGCTTAGGACATCCCTCCTTTTTACTACTTAAGCATTTATTTTTTTCTGTTTTTGAGAAAAATAATGTGTCTGATTTTCAATGTGCATCATGTCAACTTGGAAAACAACACAAAGTTTCTTTTGCTCTTTCTATTAATAAAAGTTCAGTTCCATTTTCTTTGATTCATTCTGATGTATGGGGTTCCTCACATTTTGTGTCTTTATAATATAAAAAATGGTTTGTTACTTTCATAGATGACTGTTCTATGGCCACTTAAGTATATCTGATGAAAGATAAAAATGAGGCGTTTTTTGTGTTTCAAAACTTTCATAAAATGGTTTGCACTCAGTTTAGGGCAGTTGTAAAAATTCTGCGTCCTGATAATGGGTGGGGGGGGGGAGATATTGACTCTGGTCTTGCCAGTTATTTCGCCACTCATGGAATTATTCATCAAACTTCATGCACTAATAACCCTCAACAAAATGGTGTTACAGAACGGAAAGATCGCCATCTCCTTGATGTGGCCCATTGTCTATCCTTTAAACTGCGTGTTCCTCGATCCTATTGGGGAGAAGCTGTTCTCACTACTGCTTATTTGATTAATCGTCTTCTTACCCAAATCCTTCAAAAACAAGCACCTCTTCAAGTTTTGTTCAGGTCCATATCTTCTGGGTTCTCCATTTGAATGTATTTGTTTTGCCATAATCATTCACCCACTCGTGGTAAATTGGATCCTAAGTCTCTTAAATGTGTTTTCCTGGATTACTCTGCCACTCAAAAAGGCTATAATGTTATCATCCTCCATCTCGCAAATGATTTGTCTCCAAGGATGTCACTTTCTTTGAGTCTCAGTCTTAAGTCCTCTGCTGTGTCACAGTCATCCCTTCAAGGGGAGCCTTGGTATGAAGAGATTCTTGTTCCACTACCTCTAGTGGTTGAATAGATAGAGGATGTTGAGCCAACAATTGTTGTGGAAAAGGAAGAAGGCAAAGTTTATGTCAGGGACAAAGATAGACAGAAAGTAACCTGGATGCAAGACACTACTTCTAATCCTTTATTGCCAACTTCTTCTCCGGATAAGTGTCCAGAGTCATTCGCCTCTCCTAAGAGTCCAGGTAATTCTGATCTTAATGTTTCTATTCCTGAGTTTTTAGATCTTGATGTTTCTATTGCTAATAGGAAGGGGGTTAAGTTATGTACTTAGCATCCTATTTCTAATCATGTCTCATATTCTAATATATCTCCTTCATATAAAGCCATTCTTTCTAAAATTTCGTTTGTGAGTTTGCCTAACAATTTCCAGGATGCTCTGTCTATTCCAGAGTGGAAACATGCCATGATGGAGGAAACGTGAGCTCTTAGCAAGAATGGCACTTAGGAGTTAGTGGAGTTACTTAGAGGCAAAAATCCAGTTGGTTGTAAGTCGGTGTATACTGTAAAACATAAAGCAGATGGTTCCATAGAATAGTACAAAGCAAGATTGATTGCTAAGGGCTTCACTCAGACTTATGGGGTTGCTAAGATGAACTCTGTGAGAATACTGCTCTCCCTTGCAGCAAATTTGGATTGGTCACTTTATCAGTTTGATGTGAAGAATGTCTTCCTTCATGGAGATCTCGAAGAAGAGGTTTATATGGATATTACCCCTGGATTCAAAGATGCTAAATCCAAGGGTAAAGTGTGCAAGTTCCGAAAGTCACTTTATAGACTAAAGCAATTTCCTAGGACTTGGTTTGAAAGGTTTGCTTAAGCTATGTTGAGATATGGGTTCAAGCAGAGTCAAGCTGATCATACCTTATTTGTCGAACACTCCTCACTTGGTAGGACTACAGCCTTAATTATCTATGTTGATGATATTGTTCTGACAGGGTATAATGTTGAAGAGATATCTCAGTTGAAGCAGTACCTAGCCAAGGAGTTTGAAATCAAGGACTTGGACACTTTGAAGTACTTTCTGGGAATTGAAGTAGCTAGATCCAAGGATGGTATCTTCATATGCCAGATGAAGTATGTACTTAACTTGTTATAGGAGACTGGGATGCTTGGAGGCAAATTATGTGACACACCTCTAGAACTGGGTCAGAAGTTAAGTGAAGATCAAGGGTGAGAGCCAATGGATAGGGGAAGATACCAAATATTAGTACGGAAGCTTATATACTTATCTCCCTCACGTCCAGACATTTCCATTGTGGTAAGTATGGTTAGCCAGTTTATGCATGCTCCTAGAGCTACCTACTTAGAGGCAATTATGAGAATTTTGAGATACTTGAAACCTTCTCTAGAAAAGGGCCTCTATTTCTCAAAACATGGTCATCTTAGTGTGGAGGCTTTTACTGATGCAGATTGGGCTGGATCAGTCACTGATAGACGATCAACTTCTAGGTATTGCACATTTGTTGGAGGCAACCTGGTCACTTGGCGTAGTAAGAAATAGAACGTGGTTGCTAGATCCAGTGTAGAGGCAGAATTCAGGATTATGACCCAGGCTGTATGCAAATTGTTATCAGTGTAGAGGCAGAATTCAGGATTATGACCCAGGCTGTATGCAAATTGTTATGGATTAGACTATTGTTGAGAAACTTGGGGATTCATCAAACTGATTCCATGAGGCTGTACTGTGACCACAAGGTGGCTATCACTCATAATTCCATGCAGCATGACAGAACCAAGCACGTGGAGATTGATAGACACTTCATCAAGGAAAAGCTCACTAGTGGCATCATATGCACTCCATTTGTGAATACTAGTGATCAAATGGCGGATGTTCTTACTAAAGGAATAGGGAATAAACCATTTCATGGCATTCTCATCAAGCTCGACATGAGAAATATCTCCACACCAGTTTGAGGTGGAGTGTTAGAATAGGAAATAATATTGCTTATATTTTATTCTTATTTGATTTTGTTTTCCCTTGATTGATGTAATGGGCTGGCCCATAATTTATGCCTGATGGCACTCCTGTAATTACGCATTATTATCAATATAAAAGGGGATGAGGTCTCACTCATTCCTTATCTCTTTCTCTTCTCTAAACTTACAATATACTTGTAGACCCATAATCTGTTGAGCTGGCATTTGTGATTATCTCATTGTTAAAAGGGGAAATTAGTGAAAAGTCCTACTGAATGGTTTTGTTTTATCATAAATCCTATTGAAAGTTTATTAACCCATGTAGTCCCACCTATATAGAATATTAGGAGATGAAGCCCCATTAATGTTAACAATTTTTAATGGCTGTTTTACCCTTGTTAAAATGCATACTTATTAAAAATGAAATTATTCAACAGTAAAACATGATAATTTTGGTGCTTTTCTTGTTTAGGCTTCAATGGCAAACCAACTCACAGCAGACTATCCATCGACGCCAGGATGGGATGATAATGCAGCCACATTTGAATTGATGATTGTAGCAAATAACTTGCATGGAGATTTCCAGCTTGCTAATGGATACCGCCATGATAAGGCAAAAGAAGTTCTGAAGGTAAGGTAATTTATTGTCCTGTAGGGGCATAAAATTGGTCCGACACAGGCCCAGTTGCCCATCTGCAAAAAATATGCCTGCCTGTCCCATTTTCCCCAAGGACCTGAGGCCTAGGGTCAAGCATGGGCCTGGGTCTGTGGGCTTTTCTATTTAAATTTTTTTTTAGTGTAAATTACAAATTTACAATTTATATTAATTATCTAGTTTCTAATTTATTGATTTTTAGTGTTAATTTGTATACCTTGTTTTATGTTAATTTTATTAGTCAATACTTGGAGTGAACATTTTCATTACCAAGGTTCAATTATTAATAAGACTTGAGAGGTTGAGAATGATGTGATCTATAGAAGCAAAATAGGTTGGCTCAAGTGAAGGAGTGCTTATAATATATAATATGGATACCAACAAAATTGGAAGGAAAATTTTATAGAACAGATACAAGGCTAAGGAATTGGGATTTTTTATAGGATAGAATGTTGGGGAACTAATAAACAACACGTTGATAAAATGAATGTAGTTGAGATGATGATGTGTACAGCTCTCGGTTCTTGAGAATGTTGTTGAGGGATTCGGCGGCGGCGGCTAAAGAGCTGCTCAAAAGCTTGACGAATAGGTAAAAAAGCCCTAACTTTTTTCTTAGTAAATAAATATATTTACTAAAAAAAATATTCATGAAATGGTAGAAGTAGCACCAATCAAAGACAAGTTGAAAGAGAACAAGATTGTTTAGTCATGTACAATGAAGACCGGTAGACATAACGGTAAGGAAGAGTGATAGGAACATTGTGAACAGAAATGTGAGGAGGAGGGAAAGACCTAAACTGACCTGGGATATGATATTAAAAAATGATATGTTATTCAATTTAACTGAGCATATATCCTTTGACAAAGCGGAATAGCAAAAAGGATTCATATAATCGACCTTACTTGATTGGGACACACGGTTTAGTTTAGTTTGGTTATTACTTATTAATTAGGTGCCATTTAGTAACATTTCTAGTTTACTGTTTTTTGTTTATAGAAAACATTAGACATTTTTATGTTTATTTTTGGTAAAAATTAAGAGAAGAACATGTTTGGTACGCATATTTTAAAAACTTGTTTTGAAAACAAGTGAGAGGGGTGGTGGTCGAAGGAGGGTGTTGATGGTGGGAGATGGTGGCCAGAGGTGGTTTTCAACAAGAGGTAGTTGCTGCTAGTGGGAAGTGGTTGGTGAGTATGTGCTGGTGGTCAGAGATCGTTATTGGACACTGGTGGGAGGTGGTTGCTTGCTGTGAGAGGGGTTGTTGGAGGAGGTCACAGGGGATGGTGGGCGGAGCTGGGGGTGGCTGGTGGTAAGATTCTGATAACAGAGGTGTATAGCATGCCTATGTTGGAAGATATTTTTTATATACAAAAGCCTCTTGATTTTACAAGCATTAACGACAAGTTTTCTTGAGGATGTCGTGAGCAACCAACTCCTAGTCTCTCAGGAGTAGTGAGTCCATCATCTCTATTCACATATACTAGGAGATGATATTTTATTTTGCATGTATTTGTGATTTTCTTTGGTATCCTTACTATGTTACAATTTTTAATATTATCTTCCCCATCCCTTGGCTAAGAAAAGTGGAGTTTTTGGGTATCGTTTTCTAACATTTGGAAGAAAGAACAACAATATTGATTTATCCTATTCAGTAGTTGTTTATTTAATTTATATGATTGGACATTCCAGAAGCATCGAAACAGCTTTATCACTGTGGAAGACTTCGATTTTCTGTACAGACATGGTATAAATGCTGTGAGAATTCCTGTTGGCTGGTGGATAGCTTTTGATCCTAATCCTCCGGCTCCTTTCATTGGTGGTTGTTTGGAAGCTCTTGATAATGCATTCACATGGGCACAGTAGGTCTTGCCTTGATATATTTCCCTCTTGCTTGGTGCCTAGATGTGTATTTCCTTTTAAGCCCTACTTGAAATTTTGATGCAGAGCCTACAGCATAAAGTGTATAATTGACCTTCATGCGGCTTTGGGCTCCCAAAATGGGATGGAACACAGTGCTAGTAGAGATGGCTCAACAGGCTGGCCTACATCTCCAGATTACATCTCAAAAACGTTGGACGTTATAGAATTCCTAGCTTCCAGGTAATATCCTGGACAAGTTTTTGAATGGTCAGGTTTACTTGGAATAGAGTATTAGACTTACCTGATTGCACGTGTCTTCTTGACAGTCAATTTATTATTATAAGAGACTTTTAATGATTGCTGTTGGAGGAGGGGAAAAAGAAAACTTTGGTACTAACTCTTTAGGTGCATGTGTTGCAGATGACCAATAAGAGCTGTGTAGTCATCTTGCCCACAATGAGTGCTGGCTTTGATGTTGGGCGCTGTACATGTTGCCTTGACTTGTAGATGAAGCTTGCTCTTATTGGTCATATGTATTACTTGCACCTAAAGAAATGTAGCTAAGTCTATTCCGTTTTTGAATATGGCATTAAATAAAACAACAAAAATACAAACCCACCCTTATCAGAATTTATATAGAAAAAGAAATCAATGGCTCAGATTCATTTCACATGTGGACCCCATACTTCATTAATTCAATCTCCAGCACATAAACACATTCAGGGTAAATTTAGAGTCCGTAAGGGTGGATTCCTAGCATTTTTCTAAATAAAATGCTTGTGCTTCAGCTCTGCTGCCATTTCAGAACTCCATTAAGTAAAATGGTTTTATTATGCACCAATGTTTGTAAAACTATAATTTAAGGCAATTCTGTGCAATACACAAATGCTCTATTTGGTTCACTGGAAGGACATGGAATAGAATGGAATGATTATTCATTAGGCTCTCCTATGGAATGATCATTCCCTTGCAATGGTGAAAGATGATTCTATTTGCAATGTATTCTTCATTATTTTTTAAGTCAACTAAACATGAGAGTTAGAATGTATAATGGAGAAATTTAGGGTTATGGTTTGAGAGGAAGAAAGAGAGAAGAGAGAAAGAGACTGATAATAATATATGGTTTAGAGTTATTGAATTACTCTACACCAGCAAATATATTTATATAAAACCTGACATTACAAAATGACTAGAGTACCCTCAACTTAACTAAATAATAACATAAGAACATATAACTATTCTAACACTCCCCCTCAAGTTGGAGCATAAAGATCAAACTTACCCAGCTTGAAAGATAAGTGATGAAAAGAAGTCCGAGCCAAAGGTTTGGTGAGGATATCACCCAATTGATCTTCAGAACGAACATAAGGAGTCACAAGTTGCTTGCATAGTAAGAGATCTCGAATGAAATGACAATCAACCTTGATATGTTTGGTACGCTTATGAAACCCAGGATTATTAGCAATCAATATGGCAACCTGATTATCACAACACATACTCATACGAGTGGGAACAGAAATACCAAAATCCTATAGAAGAGAGTGAACTTATAACATCTTAGAGGCAGTATGAGCTATGGCACGGTACTCGGCCTCGACACTAGAATGAGCAACAACTGCCTGTTTCTTGCTACGCCAAGTAACAAGATACCACTAACAAAGGTATAATAGCCCAAGGTAGAACTTCTATCAATCTTACTGCCAACCCAATCAGCATCACTGAAGTCAATGACAAACAACGAGGAAGACGGACGATAGAGCAAACCCTGACCTGAGGTGCTTTTCAAGTACTGTAAGAAACAACAGACAACATCAAAATGAGGTTGGCGAGGAGCATACATAAATTGACTGACCACACCCACAGTATAGGTAATATCTGGACGAGTGACAGTAAGATATATCAACTTCCCAACAAACCGACAATAACGACCAAGATCAGAAAACAAGGCCACGGTTACGCCATGAAGTTTAACACATGAGTCCATGGGAGTGTCACTAGGACAAGTGCCTAAAATACCAGTTTCAGTGAGAAGATCAAGGACATACTTCCGTTGTGAGAGAAACAAGCCCTGAGATGATTGAGCAACCTCAATCTCAAAAAAATACCAAAGATGACCCAAGTCCTTGGTGTGAAATTGTTGACCCAAATACCGCTTTAAATTAGCAATACCAATGGAGTCACTGCCAGAAATGATAATGTCATCCACATTGACAATAAGGATGATACTCCCAGTAGACGAGTGGCGAACAAAAACAAAGTGATCAGAAGCAGAACGGTGGAACCCATATGCAAGCACAATAGCACTAAATCGATCAAATCATGCACGAGGGGATTGCTTGAGACCATACAAGGCCTTCTGTAACCGATAAACGAGATTCTCACGACCGGGAACAACATATCCAAAAGGTTGAGCCATATAGATCTCCTATTAGAGATTGCCATGAAGAAATGCATTCTTGATATCAAGTTGATACAAAGGTCATGATTGACTAACAACAATCGAGAGGAGAATCCGAACAGAGTTAAGGCGAGCCACAAGGGAGAAAGTCTCTAGGTAATCAACACCATAGGTTTGGGTGTAACCTTTGGCCACCAAGCGAGCCGTAAGGCGCTCAACAGATCCATCAGGAAGATACTTGACAATATAAATCCAATGGCAACCGACAATAGGTTTCCCGGAAGGCAAAGGTGTAAATTCCCAAGTCTGATTTTGATGAATAGCACTCATTTCCTCATCCATAGCATGCTTTCAACCCGATATGGACATAGCCTACTGATAAGAACGGGGAATGAAAATTCTAGATAGGCTACAAGCAAAGGAGTGAAATCGAGGAGAAAGACGATCATACGAAACAAAATGAACAATAGAATGTTGAGTGCAAGTACGTTTACCTTTGCGAACAACAATAGGAAGTTTATCAGAGGGAACAGGAGATGCAGGAGCCTCAGACAAAAGAGATGAACAGGCTAGGCCATAAGAAACAATGCGACGAGCTTGGGACCGCTGATAAACCTACAGAGGAAAGGGAGGTAACGGAGCAGGATCTAAATTGGGGTGAGGATTTATACTGGTGGAAGGTGAAAGAGAGGGTGAAGGGACACAAGGCACCGGAAGAGTAGGTGGGGGAGAGGATGGCTCCCCCTCATGACAAGAGAGAAGATCAACGAATAACTGTGTGGGTACTTGTATCAAGCCTAATACGTGGCAAGCCTTGTAGGTGCCACATCACCAAAACCCCACCCACGTGGTAGACTAATAAGGCACCACGCGGGCATGTCGTATACTTAGAAAATATGAGGAAGAAGAACTCCGAAAATATGAGGAAGAAGGAATATATTTCTGTTATATTCAAAACTTCTTATCTTACAAGACCAAATGACACTCCTTATATAGGAGATATTACAAACATCATCATAACCCATTATATGCCACTTACATATTATATATTACCACTATCATATTATATACATGCCACTATCTACCACCAACACCACTATCATATTATATACATGCCACCATCTTATTATATACATTAACACAAATTTCTAGCACTCCCCCTCAAGCTGGTTTGAAGATATCTTCCATAGCCAGCTTGCTAGTCAGCTTATCAAATTGCTTCTTGTGTAGTCCCTTCGTTAGCACATCAGCTAATTGTTCACCTGTTGGAAGGTAGGTCATACAGATTATGCCAGCATTGATTTTCTCCTTGATGAAATGTTTATCCACTTCTATATGTTTTGTGCGATCATGTAGAACTGGATTATGAGCTATAGATATAGCTGCTTTGTTTTCACAACAGACCTTCATAAGTGTCGGGTGAGAAAGCTTTAATTCGAGTAAAGTGAGGTTTGGTACTTTTTGTATGAAGAGAAAAATGGTCTTACGTGGCTGTGCAAGTATTCGATCTTTGTGGCTAAATGATTATTTAATTATTCTTGGGTCCCACCACTTTGATTCATTATTGGACTAATGTTTAGTGGGATGCAAATTCAAATATGGATGATGGGTGAGTGTGGTGTGATGAAGAGAAATTATAATAGAACCACCATGTTATCAAAAAAATACATAATATTTTATCAAAAAAATATATAATATTTTTTGACACATCCATGTTTAGCCATATCCACGTACCTGCGTCTAATTTTTGGTAACTTTTTAAACGTACCCGTGTATCCCTCATTTAAAGGTTTGTCGAGTCCGACCTCTAGATGCATATCTGCACCTGACACTCGTACCTGAGTCTATGTAGCGTAGATTACTTTCACGTTCATTCATTTTGCTTGGGTGAAAACCCATGTGATTGAAATTGTTATATTTTCTCTCAATTAAGGGAAGTGATTATATGAAATTCTGTATTTTTCATTCCATGATATTGCATATAGTTGACAAATATGTGGCTAGTATCTAGTGCTTGAGCACATTGTTATATGCTTCATGTGTGCATTGTATGTTGAGGTCTAAAAATACAGAGGCATATGTTTATGTAGATTTTTTGATCTATTGAAACTCTGGTCATCCTTTGTTGGTTAATTGTTTAACCTTTTTCTCTTGTAAAATGTCCAGGTATTAGAGGCAGCTAGTAACTTAGAGGAAGTTACTGAAACTGTTGACTACTACGTGCAGGGAAGTACAATTGCTGCAGGAAATCTCTTTGGAAGGTGAATTTGCATATAATTTTAGTTATGTGCAATTACTATTTTAGCAAAATTTTTTATATTAAAATCTTGTTATTTTTCTCCATATAGGCATTTGGATATTTTTAGATGTTTTCTCTTCCAATTCTTTTTTCCTGTAATACTAGTTTTAGTTTGGTTGTAATCTGCGATTTTTTTAATGCTCTTTGTTCTGCTGCATAGACTGCAAGATGCCTTTAATCATCTTCTTCCACCCATCTATTCAACTTTTGGGATTGCAGGATTGTTTCTTGCTAGTTCTGCACCTCTATTATACTCTGATCTGCATATTTGCTTTGCTTTGCTTTGGTACTTCTTTTTTGTCACTGGTCAAAATATTGTAGCACAAACATGTGCACTCATTGACACATTGAGCTCTTGCATTTTCTGTAACCCTACCGATTCATCCCAAAGGTATGTTTGATTGAATTCAGTGTAGCATTCCATTTCAGCCTGTTGCATGATATTCTGTTATGTTGAACATGAGTGTACTTCATGTGTATCCTTAACTGGACAGATATCTGAGCTGTGATCAGTGTATTTAGGACA